CACTGGGTGTTATGCACAAACAATGAATCATGGAACACTACATCTAAAACTAATGATGTAATGTATGGGGATTAACATAACAATAAAAAAAATAAAAGTAAAAATCCCCATTTTGGGGGGCACCTGGGTGGCTCAGTTGGTTAAGCATCTGCCTTTGGCTCAGGTCGTGATCCTGGGGGTCCTGGAATCGAGCCCTGCATGGGGTTCCCTGCTCAGCAGGGAGCCTGCTTCTCCCTCTCCCTCTACCCCTCCCCCACCCTGCTCATGCTCACACTCTCTCGCTCTCTCTCAGATAGTCTTTTTTTTAAATTCCCCATTTTACAGGAAGAAAAACATTTCATTAATGCTTCCTTTGTAAAAATGTAAATATTTTTTATAAGACATGCTCAAAGTGAGTTACTAAATAGCTTCAGTATTACAAAAAATAGTTAATCATTAAAGTAAATCCTTGAGTTTAAGTAAATGTTCTTTCTTTTCATATTACCAGCTTCTTATATTATGCGAGAGATTTCCTGGCTTATCATGAACACGTAAATATCAGTTAAAACAGCAGAATCAAATTATTCAGTGTTTCATTACCAGAGAATGGTGTTGCCTATTTTGGGTTATATCATTTGATGGAGAAAGGACAGTAAAAAGGTAAGATCTGGTCTGATTTATTTGCTGGGACGTTTCTGTATAGCTATTTAAAATTATGTTGAGTTTAAGACATAACATTAAATGGGGAGAAAAAGATAAAACACTATGATCTCAATTGTGTTTAAAAATAAATAAATAAATGTGCACTGCAGGAAAAAGGTCAAAATGCTAACAGTAGTTTTATCTCTGGGTGAAAACACAGATGAAAAAAAAATGACATTGCTTTCAGTAGTTATATATCGGTTTTTTTATTGCAATAACATTATGCGTTAACATAACAACAACAAAAGATTTCAAAATTGTTTAGTTACTGCCTCTCCAATAACCTTTCAGTCATGATCTGCATACTGCGCATCAGTCACAATAGTATTCACATTACAACGGGAAAGTGATACTGAAACTCTCAATATACAAAGCATCCACCAAGTTTTAAATGAAATGCAGGTTTGTTTGGGTTTTGTTTAACTACTTTTACTGAGAGATGATGTATCAGGCACTGTGTTGAGCTCTTCACAGGGATTCCTTCATTTAACCCTCTCACTACCCTCAAAGATATGACTATCCTCATTGTAAAGATGAGGATGCAGAGGCTTCCAGACAAGCTAAAGTCACTTGCCCAGTGTCAAAAGTTATGAAGTGGAGGAGCCAGGGTTCAAAGTCAGATGTTGGCATTTCTTCATTAATACTTCCTGAACAGAAGTAACATATGTGGTTTACTTTTCATCTGCAGTAATATTGGTGACGTATACTCAAATGGGCTCAAAACTTACAAAACCAGGATAACCATCTCTGCCTCTGAAAGTACACTTTGAATTCTGGCTATCATCTAAAAGGATTTTTAAAAGCATCAATCTGAAATAGCTATCACAAGTCAAAACACAAAGTCCAAGTTGTGGAAAATGAACACAATTTGCTGGAATTCAGAACAAGTCAGTTCAGATTCAACAGTCTATACAGGAAAAGGGAATAGTTTTAAGATGAGGCCATGCCCAAAACCATCCAACTTCAAAACAGCTTCATTTTGATTTCTTTGCTTTCCATTTAATATTGCTTTCTGAAACCAAGTATATAGAAGAATCTCAAATTCAATGTAGGAAGAAAGAAATGAAAAGCAGACTTTCTACCTTCTAGATGCATACCTTCAGTACAGACTTGCAACTTTCTGTCTCAGAGAAACTGCTATTTAGTATTGTATTCTGGATAGAGCTCTATTGCCCTAAAAATGATAGTTTTCTGATTTCTGATTGTGGGAAGCTAGGGATTTATTACAGAGAAGCAAACAGTAATGTCAAGGTGAGCAGTCTACCATCTACCAGTCTAACATAGTTCAAAGTGCCAGATTAATTACTATATGGTACCTTAAACCATATCAAAACTAATCAGAGAGGGGTGCCTGGGTGGCTCAGTCGGTTAAGCCTCTGACTCTTGATTTCTGCTCAGGTCATGATCTTGAGGTCCTGAGATCTAGCCCAGCGTTCGGCTCCTCACTGGGCATGGAGCCTGCTTAAGATTCTCTCCCTCCCTCTCCCTCTGTCCCTCCCCCCTACCCCGCTAGTACACTCTCTCTCTAAAAAAAATAAATAAATAAAAAGAAACTAAACAGAGAAACCAGTCAATGCCTTAAAAAGATGGTTTTCTTCCATTAGTGCTTAATTCCAAGGCAAGTCAAGACCTTAGACCTGTAAGAAATCCTGACCCAAATAAAGGTTATCAAAAGAGCCATCCTGAGTAAGAAGAAAAGCCTATAGCCCTAAAAATGATAGTTTTCGGATTTCCTAAAAACACTGACTGAGCATAACTGATGATAAATGTTAATGAAAATATAATTTCCTAGTGCATAAAATTCGTATCAGTCATCCTCACATTCAAAAACTTTCACTTCTAGACCAGTTTACCTTTTCAGCCCCATCCCCCGCACTCTCTCTCCCTGGCCTTTCTCACACTCCTCCTCTCAAGAGGAAATGGCCTCTCCCACCCCTATCTCTACCAGCAGATATCCTACTCATCTTTCAAGGTTTTCCTCAAAAAGCCAAATACTCATTGAAGTTTCTCCCGCCCCCAAATGGTTTTTAACAACATTCTTTTATCTATCTCAAAACACCAGCTTCTCCAATAATAATTGGTAATGTCTTTCTCCTGGGCTAAGACACTGCTGCAAATCCCTGAACTGAACAGGGAGCCAAGATACCCTCATCTTTGTCCTGTCCACGGAAGCCTAGCAGCTGCATGCACTTCACACAGTCAGCTCCATACTTTCTTTTTTTTAAGATTTTTATTTATTTATTTGAGAGAGAGAGCGCGAGCATGAGCAGGGTGAGGGGCAGTGGGAGAAGCAGACTCCCCAAGGAGCAGAGAGCCCAACACGGGGCTTGATCCCAGGACCTTGGGATCATGACCTGAGCCGAAGGCAGACGCTTAACCAACTGAGCCACCCAGGTGTCCCTCCATAAATACTTTTCAATGGATGTAATAAGAGACACTAAAGATTGATTTCTGTTGGATCCCTCACTGCCTTATAAATACTTATTCAATGATTTAGGAACTTACTAAACCCAAATTGTTAAAACAAAACTAACAATTTTACATACAAAATAGCACAGGGGATGTGTCTTTCAGCAGTTGGAGATTCAATTCCTACTCTGCCAGTTACAGAGTAATCTTGCGCAGTAACTTGGCCTTTCTGAGCTTCAGTTTCCTGACTTGTAAATTAGGAATCCTAAAATCTGTTTCACTGGGCTGCTAAAATTAAAGAGCACAGTACCTGGCATATGGTAAACACTGAAGAAATGGAGCTATGGTTACTGTTACATGAAACCTCTCCCTTTGCTAGACAAGTTTTAGGTCACAATCTAAACAAAATCTGAAACCATTTCTTAGTTTTTGAACTTTAGTTCCTGTAAGTCTTCCCTGAAAAATCTCAAGTCACTGTCCATAAAGTTCCATATATAACTGGTAGGATATTGATGTTTTAAAGCTCAGTAAACTGACTCAAGAGAATAGTTAATTCAATACATACCAAAGTCCTATTTTCTTCTTCACACTCATCGGTAGGAAATAATTCCAAGTTCCCATGTAATATACCAGCTGACCCTATAATGACATCACCAACATAGAGAGCATTCGTGGCCCTGTCAGAACACCCTGTATGTTTCCAGCACAGAATCATTGAGGCTTTCTGTTCTAGTATAGTCCTTTTTAGTTACTGCACTGATACACGTAAGAGAGGTACACGACCTCTCCCACAGGGCTTCTTCCACAGGGCATGGAATACTGTGCCGCCCTAACACTGAGGTTCCTTGGGAGACAAGCCCAGCCTTCCCCAGCGCCACGCCAATAAACCCCAACAAGCTTATTTGAAACAGTATTTATCTGACATTTTCTAAAAAGAGTATTAAAATTAGTATCTAAAAACTGTAGACAGGGGCGCCTGGGTGGCTCAGTTGGTTAAGCGACTGCCTTCGGCTCAGGTCATGATCCCAGGGTCCTGGGATCGAGTCCCACATCAGGCTCCCGGCTCAGCGGGAAGCCTGCTTCTCCCTCTCCCACTCCCCCTGCTTGTGTTCCTGCTCTCGCTGTCTCTGTCTCTGTCAAATAAATAAATAAAATCTAAAAAAAAAATAAAAACTGTAGACAAATAATCACAAAATGCACAGCAAAACACAGATTCAGTCTGACAAGCTATTAAAAGCATGTAGGCATGCTCCAAGCCCACAGAACGATGCAAGCTTAAAAGAAATAATTTCCCATGGTTCCCCGGAGGAACTAATATTACAGAAGGTGAAAAAAGGCACAAGTGTATCTTGCTTAAAGAGACGTGTTCTAATAAAATTTCTGTGAAACGAACTGCTAAGTAACTTTTATAACTCCTGCATCATAATCATTTTATTGGAAAAAAAAAAGGAAAGTGTCCCCTTAAAATTAGTTTTCCTGAATCGGTTTCAGAGGAAAATAATAATTTTCTGATAAAATATTAATACCATACAAAATAATTATATGGTGTTAACTTAAAAGTACACTAAGTATTAACTTTAAAAGTGCACAGTAAAAAAATATGGTAAGATTTCATATTATTTCCATATTATTTCCACAAGGTAATGCTTAAGGCAATTTAGCTAAGTTCTTTACCTGAAACTTGAGCCTTTATAACTTAAAAACTTGTCACTGTTACCTTAACTGTATTTTCCCCTACCAAATTAATTAACTGACTACTTTCTGGACACATTTGCTGACAACACCTATAGTCTCTTGTTCAGGAAATACGACCGTGTAATGAATGAAATAACAGTACTGACCTCAGACTGACTCTTGGCCCAAAGTCCTTCCTCTGGGCTCCCACAGAAACTGCAAGCATCCCCACAGGAGGGGTTTGTGTGAGCAATCACATGCTCATGTCCTTTCTCCCCTTCCACAGTGGACATATAGTAGGCATCTTTCTACCACTAAAACTAAATTAGTATGGACTCAGAAACTAAATATTATCAAGCAGACTGCCTATACTGGGGGCCCATTCTCAACCAAAAAGTTGGGATGGGTGGGTTCCCTCATTGGAAGGTAGAAGTGATTAAAGTGGTATCTAGTGAGCTGGACAAAGCACCGTTCACTGTCAGATGGGAGTCTGTTGCCTAAATTTAGATTTAATTCCCAAGAGCTGAACCTTTTAGTTGGTGTGATGTCAGTCAGAGGATAAGTAAGTTCTCCAAACAGAAACTTCTGCTTAGAGTACAAGAAAGAGCAAGCAGTGGGTTTCTGCTCAAACGCCTACCCTTCAGGTCGCAGGCATGCTTCTGTTCATTGATCACATGGCCTTTGACTCCTTGGGCCTCAGTTTCAGAGATAGTCCCCATATTTTGCCTGTCTGTCAGTATCAGTGAAAAGGGGTTTGGTAAAGTCCTGTTTTCTTTGGCATCTCCAGAATCGGTCCACCTTTCTCCATCCCAACCACCACCTCCTCAGGCCCAAAGCTCCAGGTCTCACCAGACTTCTGCAACAGCCCCCAAACGCTAGCCCCTCTGCATCCTTTCTCACTGCTCTCCAACAGATTTGCCACAGAGAAGACAGTGATTTTTTTCAAAATGCAGCTCTAATCATGTCATATTCATATATCCTCAGTGCTTCAAAGGCAAGTTACCGCTCTTGGAAGAAATGCTAGAACCCTTAGTATGGCGTCCACCGGCTTGACTGGCACAGAGCCAGCTTGCTCCTCGGGCTGCATTGTGTGCCACACCCTACCCACCAACACATACAAATTCTCTGTGTTCTAGCCACACTCAACTTCTTTCAGTTCCTTGAATATACAACGTTACCTCCCACATTATCACATCTCCCTGTAATATTCTCTTTTCCACACCCAAATTTCCCCTACTAACTCCTACTGAGCTGTCAGATCTCAAGTCACTTCCTTCCCTCACCACCCACCTGCCAATGTTCTCTCAAGGCACCAAGCACTTTTCCTCCCAAGTACATCCTGTGATGGCAAGTTTATTTGTGTGACTATTTGAGTCCTGTCTGTCTCCTTCACTAAATGGTAAGCTCCGGGAGGACTGTGACAGTCTTACTCACCAAGAAGAAATATGTATAGGTTTCAAAACTGAAGAGATCTTTCGAAACTTGATAACAGAAAATTATGAGACTGGTGTTTTTAATTGTGTATTTTCAGTGTTTTCCAACATTTCTTCATTATAGGTATTTCCAAATATTTTTGAAATCCTAGCCAGTATATAAAATCATCAGGATGTGAAACACTGGAAAACTGGTACACTTTTCTAAAATGTAGAATAGAACCAAAGGCCTTCTTCATCCAAAGCTTTTTGCCTGCCTGAACTTGGTCACAACTTTGGAACACCATAAAGCATGGCTATCAAATATAAAACTGAACCTTTTATAGGTTTATTTTAAAACCCGGGAAACTATAAAGGGATTAGAGTACCTACAAAGCAGTAAGAAAACGATTAAAATGTATGCCAGAGAAGTGATTATGAAACATATGACTGGGGAATTTATGGCAATGAGGTCAGTAACTATAATCTTGTTCCGAACAAGCCAGTATTTATAAGAAAAAAGCAGTTCTTTAATGGTTCACGTTTCCGGTCTTAGCAACATTTACCGTGAGCAAGAAATTTTTGGCATTTGATTAACAGTGATTCGAAATATAAGCCTGAGTAGATTTTACAGAAAAAATGGACACACTAATAGATTAAAAATGCATGTTTTAAAAACAAAAACAGACTCACAGACACAGAGAACACTCTGGTGGTTGGCAGAGGGGAGGTGGGTGGGGGAATGGTGAACTAGGAAAGGGAATTAAAAGGTACAAATTTCCAGTTATAAAATAAGACAAGGGGACACAAGGTACAGCATAGGGAATATAGTTATAGTAGCTAACAACTTTGTACAGTGACAGGTGGCAACTAGATTTATCATGGTGATCACTTCGTAATGTGTATAAATGTTGAATCACTATGTTGTACACCCAAAACTAATACAATATCATAAGTCAACTAAACTTCAATTAAGAAAAAAAAGGGGAAAGAAAGAAAAGGCATGTGTTTAGTTCTCTCCCAGAACACAATATTATTTTCCCCAAGTTGGTACCTTATATTAGTATGTTGCAGGTGTTTCTCCTTATTTGAAAAGTAAATAGCTGGAAAATAAAACCATGTTGAGGTCCCCGGCCCTTTCTCTATGGCATTTGAAGTCCTACCCCAGGTGTGAACCAGAGGAGAGAAGTCACACTCTCAAGCTACAGAAAACACTGAAAATTCAGAATCAAAGCAGTAATACCTCATAGGTTTTCAATTACGAATCTACTTCCTCTGAGGCTTCACCTGTCTAACCTAGGATACTGCCCAAGCAGCGAACAGACCTTTAACAACAGTACTTTGGTTGGAACAACAGCTACCACAGGTGTTTTACAAAGTCTTCCATGGGAGAAACTGCCCCAACAAGAGACTTTTCTGGCAATACATCTGTTCAATTAGTATCAATAAACGTACCCTAGGTATCCCTAAAAGCAAAATGGAAAACACTAAGGACAGCAATCAATAGGTACAAAGAACAATCTATGTGTACACTATACATAGGGAAAAGATCCTGAAACCTAGTCAAATCAACAGCTCAAATTCTCCCAAACACAATTTTTCTGATTCTATGCCTTTCTCAATATTGTTTCCTCCGACTGAAATGCTCTGACCCCTAACTCAGCCTTCAGCCTCCTGCGACACAGCCCTAAGAACCCCTCCAGCCTCTCATTGCTAAAGCACTTCATAATATTCCCTATAGCACCAATTATCTCACTTTTTTTTTTTTTTTTTGAGAGAGAGAGAGAGCACATGAGTGAGGGGAGGGGCAGGGGGAAGGAGAGAATCCCAGGGAGACTCCCCACTGAGCGCAGAGCCAGACGTGGGGCTCGATCTCACAACCCTGAGATCACGATCTGAGCCAAAACCAAGAGTTGGAAGTTGGACACTTAACTGACTGAGCCACCCAGGCGCCCCTCCTCCCTATGTTCCTAAAGGACCTAAATAACATATGAAGTAGCTTCCAGTTTCTGCACTGCCCTGCACATTAGATGTCATTAGATTTATGGAAGCTGTTAGAACTACAGGGACATGGAGTCTGAGTCTCAACCATATCTTTATGGTAAAGCAATCAGTGACTACAGAGCTGAAATGGCCTCACTAAGCAAACATTGACTGAGCACTCTAAATGGCAAGCCCAGAGATGAACTAAACAAAATTCCTGACCTCAATGAGCTCACAGTCCAGCAGAGGAAAATATAATTGTAAACAACAATTACCAAAAGAAGAAAGAGATCCACATGGTGATATATGAGGTAGCAACAGGGTCCTATAATAACAAAAGAGGGTACCTAACTCAGCCTAAAGGTAGGTAGGTAAAGGCCTCCTCTGCAGAACTCAACTCAGTTCCTATAAGAGTCAAAAAGAGAAGGTAAGTAAGGGAAAGCCTCCTTGACATTGGTCTTGGGAATGATTTTTTGGAATTGACACCAAAAGCACAGGGAACAAAAGCAACAATAAACAAATAGGCCTACATCGAACTAAAAGGCTTCTACACAGCAAACAATCAACAAAATAAAAAGGCAGTCTATGGAATGAAAAAAAATTTTGCAAACCATGTATCTGATGAGGGGTTAATAATCCAAAATATGTAAGGACCTCCTACAACTCAAGAGCAAAAACCAAATAACTCAATTTTTTAAATGGGCAAAGGAAATGAATAGACATGTTTCCAAAGAAGACAGAGAAATGGCCAAGAGGTATATGAAAAGGTGCTCAACATCACTAACCAGGGATAAGAAACTCAGAACCACAGTGAGCTATCACCTCATGCCTATTGGGATGGCTAGTATCAAAAAGTCAAAAGATAACAAGTGTTGGAGAGGAGACGGAGAAAAAGGGAACTCCTGTGCTGTTGGTGGGAATGCAAATTGGTACAGCCAGCATGGAAAACAGTATGGAAGCTCCTCAAAAAATTAAAAATAGAACTACCATACAATCCAGCCATCTCACTTCTGAGTATATATCCAAAGGAAATAAAATCATGATCTCGAAGAGATACTTGCACTCCCAAGTTCACTGCAGCTTTTTTCACAGTAGTCAAGATATGGAAACAACTTAAGTGTCCATCAATAGGTGAATAAAGAAAATGTTACACACACACACACACACACACACACACACACACACATCCAAATATTATTCAGCCTTTAAAAAGAAGGAAATCCTGCCATTTGCAACAACATGGATGAACCCAGAGGACATTCTGCTAAATAAAATAAGCCGGACAAAGAAAGACAAATCTTGCATGATTTTACTTAATATGTGGAATCTAAAAAAAAAAAAAAAAAAAAGTGGAATTCTTGGTAAGCGAAAGGGGAGATGTTAATCAAAGGTACAAACTTTCAGTTATAAGATAAGTAAGTTCTGGAGACCTAATGTACAGCATGATGACTATAGTTAATAATAATTTATTCTATAGTGAAATTTGCTGAGAGTAAATCTCAAGTGTTCTCACCACACATACACAAAAGAGTTATGGGAGGTGACAGATATGTTAGTTAATCTGATTGTGGTAATCATTTCACAATGTATATATATATATCTAAACATCACACTATACACCTGAAACATATGTAATGTTTATTTGTCAAAAATAAAATTTGTCAATAAATAAAAAATAAAATACATAAAAAAGAGAAGGGAAGGAAGACTGTTAGCAGCCAAAGGAACAGCACATAGGAAGACAGAGGTGAGAGAGACAGAGCTCTACCTTAGTGTGGCTGGAGCTTGAAGAATATTAGAGGGGGACAGGCTGGGAGAAAAGGCTGATTTACCTCTTTGGAATAAATGAATAAAAGAATGCACGCAAAAGAAAAATCAACATACGCTTTCTTTCTACTTGCAAAAAACTTCTACTGTTTGAGGTAGTACATATTTGTTTTATGTCTTGCATTACTGGTTGAGTGTCAATAAGAGGCAGGTAGAAAGAGGACTGGATTAAGAACCAGAATACCCAGGTTCTAGTCCTAACTTTGTCACTACACAATTGCTCTTGGGCAAATCACTTAATGTTCATCTAGAAAATAAAATATTGGAACTATATTTATTATAATCTCTTCCTACCTGAAATACTTGTGTTCATGCTAGAATGCAAGAAGGAACAGACTACTATAGACAAAGATGGACAAAGGTGACTTTGCAGAATGATACTCTTTAATAGGAGTAAGATGCCAAAACCAATGGATGAAAGTCTGTGGGCGTCCAGGATATGTATACAATCTCAAAATATCACCCCACAGATTGCTCATTAATTATTAAAGGAGGAA